CACCAGGACTCTTGTACATTTCAAAGACTCAGGTGCCACAGGGAGTATGAGGTCACTGGGACTCCCCCACTGGCTCTGCACTCCCTGCGGGGCTTCCACTTTTGAACTGTAGCAAGAGCCTGGTAGGGCTCTTGCTACAATTCAAAGGCGGAGGCACTCTTATCAATTAATTGAATAGTTGATGGATATCCCATTGATTATTCAATTAGTTAATCTAAATTTAACATCCCTACTCCTGCACCCCAAATTCCTCCTCCCTAGCCCCACCCAAGAGCCCACAACCTCTCCCACACTCCACACCTGTTGGCCTCAATTCCACCCCACAGTTCACACCCCCAGCTGGAGTCTGCACACCAATCTTTTGCCCCAACTGGATAAAAGTGAGTGAGGGTGAGGATGTGAGCAATAGAAGGAGGGAAATGGAGCAAGTGGGATCAGGCCCTCTGATGGTCGTGGCCTTCGGACAGGTACGGAGCTGAGCAGGGATTTTTTTTTTTTTAAATTAGAAAGTTGTCAACCTTAATCACACTGCAGGAGGTATACATGTGGGGAGAATATTTCTGTCCTCTTTTGTAGCCCTGAAGGTGGGCAGGAGTATACAGGAACTGTATTTTGGGCACATCCCATCCCTTCTTCTGATACTTTAGCTGGTCTGGCAGTAACTTGCTGGATTTCCTGTTCACTGGGATTGCATGCTGCTCTGGTAGAAGTTGTGGGATCCCAGCTTCAGAATGTTCGTCAGGTTTTTTTTTTTTTTTTTTTTTTTTTTACATGCTGCCAAAATCACACAGAGGTGGCATAAGCCCTGGTAGAGAAATATGGTTTTCAACAGTTTATATTCATTAAAATCTGAGCAGAATTTTCATGATACTAATAAACTGTGCTTTCCCCCTGCTGAAACCTTGCTGCAAATAATAGTGGTGACAGAGCTCAAGAAAGATGGTGGTAATCTTGTTTAATGAGAGGTGTTAGGCAAACTAAGTATTGGAGTGTCTGCCAGTTCTGTTTCTAATAATAATAATTAATTATGAGGAATACTGTAAATACCAAATGTCAAGCTCTGTGAAGTGTACTTAGATCTGTCCTGGAAACCTAAGGAAGAACTCTGTGGTTTTGATTATTTTTCAGGGAAGTGTTTTTTTCCCCTTTCAGAAAAGATTGGTCAAAACTAGGAGGATTTAAGAGGGTGACACATATGGCACCTAGTTAGGTAGAAAATATTCTAAACAGTGGAAATATAAGGAGTAACTTCTTACATATGTCTTCAGTTTTTTTGGCTGCTATGACGACAGCATACACTCAGCTGACTTCCATAAAAATTTCAGTGTATAGGAAAGTATACTAATGTTGTTTTATAGTATTCTTTTATGTGAGACATTTATATTGTTTTCCCAAGGTGTTAGTTTCTGTGCTTACTTTTATGTGGTATAATCATTTCATAAGCATCAATTTTAGTTCAGAATAGCGTAATGCATTCTCTAGTTACATAAATAATGGCTTAGAGGCATTACCAGTTAAAATTATTATTGTACTTTGATTAAAATGAAGTAAGGAACAATAGCTTGCCTCTTTGAACAGCAAAAATGGAGGGGAAAAGAGTTGTTGCTTGAATATCATCAGCTATAAAAATGTAGCAGCTAAAAATCTGAACATCACAGTGTTAGCAGTCTTGATACCATACATAATATACATATTTCAGTGTGCATTATTGGGCTCTCATAAATATGGGGGAAATACATGAGGGTTAACTTAGATATTTCACATTCTTTTTGGATGTGTGATATATTGACTGAAAGGAATACATTATGTATGTCATGTAAATAAAATTGTGCATCTTACATGTTGAAATCTTAAGATTTTTGTAGTACACACTTTTTATTATGTATTAAAACAATTATAAATTTCTTAGCAATTCTTTTAACTTTAGATGTATTTATATCTTAACCTCGTAAAAAGAGAAATTTTGAACATTCTGTCGATACTCTTCAGTCAGATACTAACAACACATATCCCATGCACTGAAATGTGAGAATTTGTGATTGGTGACCAGATTGTTATTTTTAAGTGTTCATGTAATAAGGTAAGTCTTTTTTTTTAAAATCTTATTCCTGTGAATTCCTCCATTGGCAATGTATTCTGTGGTTGGCAATCCTACTTGGTTCTTTCGGGGGGGGGGAGCTTTCCCCCACTGCGGTGATATTGGCAGTCTCAGTGGACAGTATTTTAATAGATTAGCCATCTTCAAATTATTGCCTTTTTATTTTGATGAGTAACTAAGCCTGGCTCCCCTCAAATCATTGGCTCTCCCTGTGTACAAGCTGGCTTTCATTAACTTCATTGCAGCACTATCTGTGGAAGGAAATCACAATCTCCTTCTGCTAGGACCAGACACACAAGCTGTTACTAAACTTTTTGGCTCAAGTAGCTCTAAATTTTGGGGCATTCTCTGATTCTTAATAGCAGTTAGTCTCAATTTGAATGTCCATATTCAATTTCTATGTTTAAATAAAATAAATGTTAGGTATAAAAGTTGTAATTAAATGTATTTATTCAAGCACTATAAAAAAATGACTAGGCAGACAAACACTATGTTATGAAGTGTGAACCATCACACCTACATTCTGGTAGAACCATCTCTCAAGCCACTCTTTTGTCTACCTTTTATCATCTCTAACTAGCTGTCACAATTATTTCTAGCCTATCAAGTTAGAATTTCAGCAAATCTTTGGAAGTCTGTTTGCTCCAGGTTCTCCTTGATACAATTATTTTTCACTTTATGTGAAAAACAATGTTTTACCTAGGTCAGTACACCATGTTACAGTTATTTGCATAGTACATATTAATACAGTGTGTTCCATTGTTGCTTCATCCAAGTTTAGCTTTCATACAGCATGTCGGTCTCATACTGGCCCTGGTAAATGTCTAGTTTATTTTCTTTTCTTGTTAAACTGTTTACAGGAGTACTAGTGTACCTTAACAAAAGTTTCACTAATAAAACACCAAAGTTCCTCTAGTACTTCTGTGAAATTGATATAATGATTATTTAGCCTCTCTCATTTATTACCATTTACTTCCTTTTTGTATGCATTTGCTGTAAGTGACCTGCATGATTCACAGATAATTTTATAGATAGATAGATAGATAGATTGTGTTTTCTATAACTGAGAGGATTTTACTGTTCTATGCATGTGTTTATATGCAGACATATATATTGCCCTTAGTCAGTTTCTCTGTTTTTCCATGCTCTAACTTCATAAAACTATACAATTTTAATTTTCAAACTGTTACAGTATGTTAGTCTGCCGCTTTACTTGTGCCCAGTGCTTGGTTTAGGTCATTTAGTAGGCTACTCACCAATTTAGTGTCTTAAAATCTTAGCTAGACATTTTACAGGAAAATAATATACAGTACAGGCAGTCCCCGAGTTACATGGATCCGACTTACATCGGATCCCTACTTACAAACGGGGTGAGGCAACCCCGCATTAGCTGCTTCCCCCCAGCAGACTAGGGAGACGCGAAGCTAGCGCCCCTCCCCAGCAGACCAGGGAGATGCAGAGCGGCTTTTCTCAGCAGACACCTCAGCTTGAGAATAAAGGACTGAGGGAAGTGAGGTGTGGGAGAATAAAACTGAGCTCTGGAGAAATGTTTGGCTAGAGTTTCCCCTACAATATGTACCAGTTCCGACTTGCATACAAATTCAACTTAAGAACAAACCTACAGTCCCTATCTTGTACGTAACCCGGGGACTGCCTGTACTGAGTCTTTAGCTATACCTGTCATTGTACTTGATCTCTCTGTAACTGATACTGGTGTGTGTGCACACTTGCCTCAGTGTGGGATTGGTCTTCCTCCTGGGAAATGTCTTGAGACAGAGGAAATGCATTTCACTGTTAAGATATGTCTACACTATGTAGTTTTAGCACAGTATGTAGTTTAGTGTCAACACAGTCTAGTCTCTAAAAGACAGTTTGGATGAATGTTGTTTGTCAGCACTTTTGCCAACAAAATACTTCCACCCCTTTTGAGGAGGTTTTGCATTGAAAGCAACGTTCACACTTGCCATTGTTGTCGTTTGTTGGGAGGTTTTTAAAGCAACCAAGAGCGACACAAACATTGTGAAAGTCTAGTAGAGAGAGCCATAAATGAAACGGGCAGAGTCTATCAAGGTTATGATTGATCTGTTACTTAAAATCTTATGTTTGACATTCTCTCTCCTTCAAATAACGAATTTCATTTTCTTTGTCTTGACTTCTGCCGACGGACTGTTAAGATGGCAGCATTCCCTGTTTGAAAGTCCCTTCAAATGAATATTGTGAAGATCTTAAAGTGATGCTTTATGTAATTTAGTTATTAAAATCTTTCGTTTTAAAGAGCAGTTTTGCTTTAAAATTGTTCTTTGTATTTGGTGTTTATATAGTATTTTTGATAATGTAATCAAATAAGATGGCCAGATTATCTCCCATTATTGATTATTTAAGTGATTAATGTAATTATACTTTCATTTAACTCTTAACAGTTTTCTCTCTTTGGTTAATCTGAGTTTGTGTCAAATGTGAGATCAGACAGACCGCATCTAATTTTTATATCTCCACTCTTGCTTAAGGTGTGCCTAATTAGCATGTCCATGTGTTTCTGTGAATCTTAGTGCAACAATTCTCTTTGCCCAATTTAACCTGTAAAAAGCATACATCTGCTACATGTTCTTTAACCTATATTAACAATGCTTGTAATAGTCATTCCAGAATAATAACCGAAAACCTTTGCTTTCTCTAGATTGTTTTCTGTAGACCAGTGGAACACAAATGGGAGGGGGCATACGCCTAAAAGGGGCACAAGAAGTTCTCTGAGGTGGTGTGAAGAAACTTTTACCTTCCGCCCTTTTAATAAGCATACAAATACTACAGTTACCACCATTACTTCTGCACTGCTGTTGGCAGTGATACTGCGTTCAGAACTGCGCAGCTGAGGAGCAGTGGCTGCTGACCGGAGGTGCTCATGTTGTGTGTGGCATGGGAGGACTATTTTTTTTTAATCCTGTGCCAATCCCACCATGCAATTCCTACTCTCACCTGTTCCATATTGCACGTTGATTCCCTTCCCCCCCATTCCCACTGTTATGGCAACAGGTCCTTTTTTGTTTCTTTCTTGCTTCCTTACTCTAGTTTCTAACCAGGGATCCCAAATTGCTAATGACTGGAAAAGACGCTCATTTTAATGGATTTTATTTTTCCAATGTTTTGGGGAAGCAATTCACATTTTAAGTAGCCTCTCTGCAGGTAAAGTAAATGAACCTTTAAATATTTAAAGTCATTTCATGGTTTCTCAGTATGCAAAATTCTTTTTCACCTCAGTTATTATTTTCCTTGATCTATCTTTTTCTGACTTGCTTTTGGATTGGTTTTGTTAATACTAAAACAAAAAGGCTAAGAATATCCTTCTAAACAGGAAAAACTCAAATATGTCTGACAAATAAAAATCACAGTTACAAACTTTAATTTAATATTCAAGAAACCTTAAGAAAAGTGTTCCTCACTTTATGGATGAGTCATCTTTATTGCTTTCTATTGTCAGAATACAGGCATTCTAGTCTTTTGTAGAATTTAATTTCCCTGAAGATTTCTTATCCCATAATGAGCTGAAATAGATTTTTATCGTATATTCAGTTCCTGGTATGAAAAAAATCCAGACACACTTTTCTCTCCCTATTCGAGACACATTCTAATTGCTCCATTCATTTGCTCTCTGTAGTTTAAGCAGCCAAACCTTACCTCTTTAATGAAAATTCATTTTTATAATTTATATCTAATGTCAAATCAGTTCTGTGAGTTTGTTGTGGGGTAGAACAGTTTCCTTCTAATTTCATTGTACATGTGTCAGTTCGCTGTTGTAAAGTTGGTGTGTCTGCCTGCAGTGTCTTCCTAAGTGGGTTGTTTTTGTCAATGATGTTGGCCTTTATGTTCCTTTTAGAGCTTCTGCTGCATTTCTCACCTCCAGTGATCGAAAGGAGATGGGGCACATAGAATATTCTTTAATCTTGCGGAGCTACTTACTAACAGTCATATGAGAATCAGGATGTTCCTTGTCACTTTTTCTGTTTTAATACATTTCCCCTCATGCTTGTTTTAACAGTTGGGAAAAGTAACATTAACTCCCTTTATGAGAAAAATGGGAAGTGTTTAAAAATGAACAGTTTTAGAGATTTGGATTTATGATAGGAAAGGGCAGAAAGGGTAATATTGGTGAAACCATATGTCAGGTCCTGGATGCCAAGCTCCTTAGAAATACGTAAAAAGACAACATGACCACTGTTCCCTCTAAGATTTCCCAGCTGTGAGTGGGGTGAGTTTTGTCTTGTGCACCTACATTGACATCATGTGCACTTGTTCGGATGCGCACTACTGCGGCACCCACCAGTTATGCATTCTCTCTGTCACACTCACACGCTCACGCATGCACACACATACTCTGTTGTACAAGGAAAATACCAAACCAAGGGATAATTAACAAGGTGCATGACCTTAGGATACAGGAATCAGGAGTGCAGGGAATGGGCGGTCTGGGGGTGGCTTGGGCTGGATGATTCAGGGCGGGGGAAGGTAGGATGGGGCACTGAGATGTCAGGGAAGTGACAGCTCCCTGCTGTATGGAAGCTGGATCTGGGCTGCCCATTCTTGCGGGGGGTGGGCCAAGACTGTGCTGCCCAGCCCCCCAGGAAGCTACTCACTGTGGGTAAGTGGGGCTGGGCTGCTTGGCTCCTTCAACCAGTGGACTCCCAGCCGGCTGGCCGGCAGCTTCTGAGGTAAAGGTGCCAGGGATGCTGGCTGGTGGCTGCCCACCTGGCTGGTGCTGCAGCAGAGAGTCAGGGGGATAGATTTGGGGGCCAGGCGGCAGTTTTGACCCTGGGTCTGCCACTGCCACACGCCATATAGCGTCTCCGGCTCCAGCCCAGGGCAGCTGCCGCCACCGCCACTTGGCAGCTCCAGTCACAGCCAGGGCTGCCCAACCAGCTGCCGCCTGCCACGCAGCAGCTCTTGTCCCAGCCGGTGCCTCCCGACTGGATGCCACCTTCCATGTGGCAGTTTTGGTCCCCAGAGCTGCCGACCAGCCACCTCTCTACATGTGATGGCTCTGGTCCCGTCTGGGCTGTGGCATCCTGCCCACCGTAGCTTGAACTGGGGGCCAGTGAGGCTGCCCAAGTAGGGACAGCCTCATAGTGCCCCGGCAGCAGCCAGAGCAAATAAGGGAGGGCAGGCCAGCCACTCACACCCCACATCCCTGCCAGAACCCACCAGGCCACTACTGCCGCCGCCGCCGCTGCCGCCACCACCACCACTCACCTTCCTGTTGGCCAGTTGGGCAGGCCTAAAATTTTTGTGTGAAGGCGCGCAGCTTAGGAGGAACCCCAAACATGACGAAGATCTGTTGATTTCCTGTTCCTGTCAGATGATGGATGGCATATTGATCTCTGTAAGTTTAATTCAGTTAAATGGGAAGATCCAGTGTGTTGAACAGAAACCAGAATGACTGACTGTTTTTTATGTTAATAAAATGTTCTTTCTGGTATCTGGAGTGTGCAATTAATTCAGTTTCTGACATAGAATTCTGGAATTTTTAATGGGTCTTTGATCCACAAAGAAAGATACAGACTTATCATAAGACTAAGCGAGCATGCTCCAGGGTATTGACTGCAGAAAGAACTTTGAAGTCGTTTTTATTTTCAGTCATTGAGTGTGTTGCTTTGAGTAAATTGGGCTATCATTTGAAGAGAGCTATAATCTAAGTAAATAATCTTCCATTATCTATATGGAATTAATTAAATGTTTAAAATAAACTTATTTTATTGTAAGTAAAATAAACCCTGAATTTGGAAAACCTTAATCACTTAAGGATGTGCTATTTATTTAGTTAAGCAGGGCATAGGACACATCATAAAATGGATCTTGCTCTGTTCCAAAAGGAAATAAACATAATCTTCCATTAAATATCAGGACATGAATAAACACTGTATTAATAGCATTTTTAATACTTGAGGCAATGATGCCTTTCTTTTTACAATACTTCACATGATATCATGTAGGCATGTTAAAATGAGTGTATTTTGGTAAATTTTCAGTGGGTACATGTTTACATGCAGGAGGGTAGGAGCAAGTAGGAACCGATGCTTGTGGGGAGCCAGCTTTTCAGCTGGCTCCCGCATAGGTGCCTGCCCCCCCTTGTGCTGCCTTTGTATCCCTTCTACTTGCCCTATTCACTCCCTAGCACTGCTGCCACTGACACAGAGGCAGCAGTGTGGGAGTGGGAGAGGCCCTTGCATGTAACCATGACGGTTAACCGATGAACCCAGGCTCATCAGTGAATCATTTACTCATGTACACTATTCTATCCCTAGTATCATGACTGTATTTTAATAACAATAGTAATGCTTTCCATGTGTATACTTTTTTCCAATGAAAGCTCTTCACAAATAATAATAAAAAAATGTACCGTATGAGGGAAGCAGGTATTCTGGTTTCCCTGATGGAAGAAGCTGAATATTGCAATTAGTCAAGATTGCAAAGGACATCTGAGGTAGAATCTAAGTTTTATTCTCAGTCTCTTGATTTTGAGTCGTGTGTTTCAGATACAAGATATCCTTCCCTGTATTCAAAATATTTTATCTGCTGTTAACGTGTGAGAGTGTTTGTTGTCCAACTTCAAACATCTATTAGTGCGAAACACAGGTAAATGCTGTGGCTATGATTAGGAAGAGCAGTTATGGAAATGCTAAAGGTCTGGTCTGAAGCTCACTGAAATTGATAGGTGTCCTTCCATTGATATCAGTGGGTTTTTTTATTAGACCCTGGAAGAAGACATCTAAGGCAGGGGTGGGGAACCTCTGACCTGCAGGCTGGATCCAGCTCACCAAACAAATTCATCCAGCCTTCGGGGGTCCAGTGGCTGGGGGTTGGTTTAAAAATGTCTCCCAGTCTCCCCTGCAGCGAGGCCAGGTACTTCCGGTTCTTCTACTGACATGGGAGAGGCCCACGCAAGAGATCTGGTGTGAGGGAGAAGGTCCATATGCTGGAGCCCTGTGGCGTTTCCGCAAGGAGGAACTGAAAAAGGCTGACTGCCAGCAAAACTCATTTTGCTGAGAAGGAGACATGCAGGACCAAAGGAGAGAGAAGGGTGGAGGGAAGAGAAGCCCTGGAGCCCTTTCCTTGCCTGGGGCACTTTTTGGGAGGCAGAGGAGGCCACAGTGGAGACAGCTCCCCCCTCTCCTTCTCTGAATAGGCTGGGTGCAGCAGGGAACAGCGTCCAGCAGAGTGGAGCCACATGCTGCCAGCAATGGCTCCTTAACAGTTAAGGAGATATGTGGGACCAGAGGGAAGGGTGGGGGGAATCTCTTGCAGGAGTGGGAGGGAAGAGAAGCCCCTGAGTCCTCCCCTGCACGGAATGCCCAGAAATGGGAGAAAGCGGCAGTCACAGCTGCACCACTCCCAGCACA